GGGTGCTTGGCTTCATGAATTTCTGGATGTGTGGTAACCTTAACCACAGATCCAGGAGCACTGCAGGTCCTTGAGTCAGGATTAGTCATTCAGCTCACATCTTCACCTTTGTTAACCACCCAACCTGTAGGGTTTCCTTCTCCCACAGATCATAGGGATTTGAAGCTTAGTTCTAGGGCTATCAAAGTTTGGTTACTCTGGGAGTAGTGTGAGAGTCATGCTAGTTCTTCGCAGGTTTATTCTTGTTGGTTGTTGGGTCTTTGCAGACAGGTGATTGGTGTCCATTCATCAATCTTCAATTCTTAGATTCTCCAAGATTCACAAGTTACTCATTCCTCAATCTGGGTTGACATATGGCCAAAGTGGAGTACCAATGCTATCAGTGTTTGTTGTGCACAAGGGGCAGGTACTTTAGTTCCAGGTTACATCAATGTTACATGGGTTCTGCCATATTGTACAAGTTTTTCTCATTACTTCCATTCCATCGCACTGTGCATAAACCATTCCATGGAGACTGGTTACTGCTGGCACCATCTCGTCAATTGTCAGAACATCACATTCTTATTCTACTTTCAGAAATGACCAATGCAGGCCTCATTTTCAGGGATGAGACATCTATTCTTGCTCCAATTCAGTCTGGGTATTTTTTATTTTTCATCTCGTCTCTCAGTCAGGTTCAGTTGAATCTCAATCAGCTCAATGTTATGGAATATGGTGCCAGACTCTTACTATCCTCTCCTTCTTCTACTGTATAGATGGTTCTTTCTCTTCTAGGAATGTGAGCATCACTCCAATCTCTTATGCCCATGGGACAAAAGCACAAGAGGTCCTTTTAATGGCCATTATGGGATCAAGTGATCATAAACATCAATTCACTGGTTTTCCCAGTTTCCTTAGTTGAGATCATTCCTCAATCTCAAGGAGTTGTTACATCAGAACACTACTATGATATGGGTTCCTCTACTGGCACCTTGACAAGAGTTCCATCTCTTCATGAGTGCCTTGCTCTAAGGATGGGGTGCATATACCACTAATCAGGAATTACAGTGTCTGTTGCAAGGTCAAAGAGGCTTCCCTAAACAATGCTTTAGTCCCTCTTGCTCTTCAACAAGCAGTGAATGCATCATGGTCCGGGCTTATTCAGTAAAAAATCGTCTGGCTTTACTCTGATCATTCCGTGGTGGTGTCTGGTGTTTCTCATTGAGGAAGCACCTGGTCCATGGCTCCTTGTTTTCGAATTTTGGATCTTCTTTCTCTGGACCATTTCTATTTTACCACCATACTAGTTTGTCATGTTCCACAGGTGATGCCTGTGGTAGCAGATCAATTGTCTCAATCCTAACTGATTCTCCCGACAGAATAGATGCTGCATTGCAAGGTTCTGGATCAGCTCTAAATTTGCAACTGTGATTGGTGGGTTGGCCTCTCATTGGATCACCCAACTACTTGCAATTTGGTCTCTAATACCTTATCTTTGGGCTTTAGCAGTGGTTGTATTCTATCACTTCTACTGCTATCTGTGTGGAGGCAGCCATGATCTGTCTTAGTACACCCAGCTATCCAGAAGCTCAAGCTTCAGGCATAGAAATTATGCAGTCTTTCACACGGCATAAGAGTTTAATTTCTGAGGTTGCCATGTATCTGTCTCAGTTTTTGCTTAGTCTGAGATGAACATTTATCAATAGAAATGACACACATATTGGCAATAGTGTATTGAGAGGTGGTTGAACCCATTTCAGACAGAAGTACCAACCATAACTCGTTTTTTGACCTGACTCTCTGAAGAGGTTTTTGCATGTTCACAGTCGCCCTGTTTAAGGTAGACTTATCGACTACTATATGATTATTGCAACTATATAACTTTTGATTCCTCAGTACTCTCCGGATTTCTCACATCGCTTTGGGTCCCTGGTCTCAAAGGATCATCCCAGACACTTAACAGTTATATTAAGATTACATTGCATGCTCTTTCCTAACACCTGTTTGTGACCTTACTCTTATATGCCATGTATCCCCTTTACCTATAGGTTTATTTTTTGTGTCAGTCAGAGTGATTTGTGCTTTTTGTTCACACACTGCTTTCTCATTCTCTTTACATCCTCAGATCAGTTCTTTTTACCCAAGAAACTGTAAGACAGTTAAGGGGTTAAATTCCTTTTCAACTGATCTGATCATTATTTCTCACTTCCATGTCCAATCAGATTTTGATCATGGTCATGTTCAGTGAAGGTCTTGGAGTTTTGTTTCCTGCTCTAATGCCTTTAGAGATGCTAGACAATGACTTTTTATTCTGGGCTCTCTGTGAAGGTGAAGAATATTCTGCGAGTCATGTCTACTCAGATTTGTCACATTTCTATGTCTTTAGTGGCCTGGTCATATTATCCACTAGAGGTTATTGTGCAGAATGTCATGTGGACCTCCCTCAATACGTTTATTTCATATTATTTGCCTTATCTGGCAGTCTCTTCATCTGAGAGTTTCTGCCTACCTTCTGTAGCTATCTTAACCCTTTCTGCTAGATTATACAGAGGGGGGAGTATTTTCATTGATACCTTTCAGTGTCCCTTACCTTGTTTTCACAGGATCACACTCTGTGGCGAGTGTTGCCCAGGCAGGTGTGCTTTTATCAAGCCAATTCTGCACTAACAACCAATAATTAATTATACTTTATACAGATTGCAACAGGCTCTGTAAAAATGTGGTGTTCCATAAGACCAATTAGGAGCTGACTAGGTGGTATTACTGGACTATGCTGGACCATCACTCATGTACTATCGTGAGTTAAGCATAGAGGGATCCTGCCTGCCCTTGCCAATCATCATATTGAATAAATTTGGGTCAGTTTGCTTTTAGAATTTTAGGGAACTTGGTTCGCTTATTGCACTGTTTTCAGAGCACTGTTCCTCAGGATTCCTCAATTTGCATTACCTTCCAGATTCTACTGATGGAGCTAGAGAGTCCTTACCCTATCCAGTTTCCAGTTATTGGGGTGGGGGAGAGAGGATTTTCCTCCAGAGTGTTAGAGTAAATTCCTCCACTCTTGGAGAAAAGGGTAAAGTTGGGGCCCTCCAACCCGGATCTCTGGATGTTTTCCCCAGATGCTGGTTGGAGTGGCACCAGCCTACACAAGAGCGTACTCATAATACTAGTTCATATTTAACACTCTGCTATCTGGTTGGTCCTTCTGTTTGATCAATATAGATTCAGTACATTGTTCATGGAAGAGGGTCCACTACTCCTCATAATTCTGGTTGAGCACAGTTGTTCCACATCCTCCCCATAATTCTGGGGGCAAGTAGAATGTACCTTGCCCACACAGTTAGGGAGGGAGGATAAATGTTCATAATTCCAGACTGGATGAGTTCTGTTTCCTCAGGTTGAGTAAGACATACACAATCCTATCATTCTGTGCCTGGGTGTTGCCTTTTTGGCTTCTTCAGGTGGAGGAGAAGGTTTGTCTACCTCAGTGTTGCTTGCTTTCTTGTTGTAATTCCAGTGGTTCAGAATGAATTACTCTATGGCTACAGATTGGGATCCACTCGTAATTATATATATATATATATATAATGTTGCATTCTAATTGCCCTACCCATAAACATGGGATATAGGGACTGAGACCCCTTAATTCTAACCCCGACTAGTGATATCTCGGCTATCTGGTTGGGGCTGGCCTATAGTGATGATCACTCATGTAAAGTTCCACCCATGATACAGGAATTAAGTGAATTAAGTTCAGGGTGAATGTGGGAGAAGAGGTATGTATGTTTTGGAAGTTAACGTTTTACTAAATTGAAAATGTATTTCCAATCTTTCTTACCTTCTTTGACACTCTCCCTGCTAAGAGCCAGTGGGATGGAGTCATTCTTAAAAAGGTGACAACATTATCTGAATCAGGTGCTTATATACAGTACCATGAGAGAGGGTGCATTTACACAGGTGGAGAGTGTCATGAGACAAATATTGTCAAGGGCAATTAAGTGGGGTATAAATGACTGTAGCAAGCAAAACAAAAATCAGACCAATACTTCGATGGTCAAAGGAAGAAATCCTGACAGTTGAGATAATGAAAAATGTTAACTTTTGATTTTCAATATTTTTTCAACACTCTCCAAATGCAAATGTTACAGTAGTGTGTGTGGATTTCCTAAATTTTGTCCTGAATATAATACAGTACTCATAGCTTCCTAGAAGAAAAGTGGAAATAGTTTTAAACAAATCAGTGTTAATTTGAGCATTGAAATTTCTATATAATTGTAGTTTTTCTCATTTTTAGCTAATCATCATTTTTCAACTCTAATTGCTGTATTGTAATGATCATTGCGTGTATCTTAGCTTTGAGAAGTCATAAGCTGGTTATATGTACATTTGATGAAAGCTTTTTTTCTTTTCCTTTCAACTCTATATGCTAATATGCCTTTTAGTTCAGCAGGGATTGTGTAGATATCAGAACAAAGTGATAAAAGATTAACTTGGTGATATGTTACTAGAAGAAAAAAATGTTTGTGAACAATTTCTGCCACAATTACAGTCCTGATGTTCTTAAAGCTTGCAGAAAGCTTCCTTTATCATTTATATATATATATGTATATATCATTTGAATCATGATGTTGTACTATGGTAAGAAAATACTTTTTTTTGTGAAGATAAAGTTAACTTAGTAAGATCATTTTGCTCTCAATCATACAAAGTTTAATTCTACCAACTGTTTGTTAAACTATGTTTACATTAGGCATTAATAACTGCTTGAATGGGGAAAAAATCACCAAACAAGAAATGTACAAAATAAATTTATAAATAAGAAAGGGTTAAAAGCTATTGCATGTATTAAATGAAACCTTCTAATTAACAATTTAAAGAAGTTAGCTTGCTAATAATTGTGATATAATAAAAAAAATTATTGTTGTAGACCAATTCTTGTAAATACAGTGAAACTATGTGCAATATTTTTTAAATCTAAACAAAGATAAAATTTGCAGTTTCATAATGTAAAACCTTTATAGGAATGCTTTACTAGAATGTAGGAAGACAAAAATGTGTTATCGAAATCTACAAAACAGGTAAGAATTCTTAATTGTTTCTTTAAAAAGCATATCACATATAAAAATATTTCCAAAAAATAACATGTGGAAAGTTTATTTCAAGTTTCAAATTATTTAATCCAGTCCTTTTTTTTGTTACATTGCAATAAGATATAAAAATTAGATGCACAATAGATATGTTGAATTAATGCATCTGAGCATTATAGAATTAAAGGGGGTAATAAGAGTTGCTCTGAAAATTATGGGCTAGTTAATTTTACTTCTGTGATAGAAAACATTTTTGAGATTATGATAAAAGAAGCTTTGCAAAATCAGTAAGTGAAATGTATCATAAATGATAGCCAACATAGATTCACCAAAGGAAAGTCTGTCTTAATGAATCTGTTATTTTTTGTCAAGATATTACTTATCTGGATGAAATAAAGTGTGTAAATTTTGTGTACTCAGGTTTTCAGGAAGCTTCCAATAAGATGCCACACAAAAGTTTAGCTAAGAAACTTATAGTGGTAAAAAGTAGGGGAAATATTAGTTAATTGGATTGTAGGGTGGTTAGTTGGGTGAAAGAAAAGGTTATAATAAAGTCCAGTCAAACTGAGCTCTTGTTACTAGTGGAGTGCCTCAGGTATCAGTGCTTGGGCCTTTGCAATTTCTTAATTGCATTAATGAAATTGATAGGCCCATAATTATTGGAGTGTGTGATTACATTAAACCTCTTGTGTATTTATAGTTGTATTTGAAATACTACAGAATAGCTTTAGCTATAGAAGTTTAAGATAATGTATTTGGGTTATAGCTTGGTACATATGTCTAATATAAATGGAAACCTACTCAGTGAAGAAAAAGATTTTGCTTTATTGATAGATGAATCACACAAGCTGTCATAGCAATTTACTGTTGTCATTAGTGAAGGTAATACAAATCAGTAGTCAAGCCTCATTTGAAATACTGTATACTGTTTTAATCTCTTTATCTAAAGAAAGATTATTGACTTATTGAAAAGATTTTTTTAGATTAGTATTTGAGCTCTGAAATTTAACTCTTAAACAAATTCTTAGATCCACTTTTGTTTTTAGGTGCACATATTACCAAGAAACCATATTTATTGGATTTTCATTTGTTACAGTAATTGTATGAATTATCTTCTTTAACAAGAGTCTAGTACTTTTATTTTAACAATCTAATAATTTTATTGTAGGTATTCTCGAAGGCGTTCAAGGTCTCGAAGTATATCAAGCAGTCCAGAACGAGACAGAAGAAGACTAAGTAGGTCACGTAGTAAGGAACGATCCCGACGTTCTAGAACCCCTGATAGGTTTCGACGCTCACGTTCAAGAGAAAGAAGGAGGTGTAATTTTTATTTTATTAATCTGTGCATTGCTATAATAAATTGTATTTTAGGCAGAGATCTTAAAAGGCTGGCTCTTTTGAGTATTTTGTGTACAGATGTATGAGCTCATTTCACAAAAATTGTATCATACAGGTACATTCACATGCAGTAATTTTTGTTCACATATGTGAAAAAAAATATAACATTCATTTTTTGTGTTCTAATGCTGTTACTGTCTTAGAAGCAATTGTTATTATCAAACACATTTATACTTGAGGTTGTTGTTAGGTACATTTATGTAGTAGCTTGAGCCATGTAAACAACAGCTGAGCTAATGGAGCTCACTTAGTTTCTTCTTTTTACAGAGACCTGAATCATGCGACTATCAGTGAAATGAAAGAGTACTATTGGATTGATTTGCGCAAGCAGGTGATACATCAACTGGTCACATCTATTAGTTCAGCCTTCATACCTACTCAGTTTGCAATATAAAGAAACATGACTAATGATATTATCAAGCAGCTTGTTTGTAAGACAGTCGGTAATTGATCATTTACTACTACTAGTTGAACATGAATGATAATCAGAAATTGGCTCTTGATTGTTAGACTAAAGAATGCCTACTCAGTCCTTATAATTATTATGTAATGATAATGCACACTAGTTTTAAAGTGAAGAAAATTGACAACTTTTACCAGTTTCAAAGTGAGCAATTATCAAAGAATATTATAGTGTCACAGACAATAATTTCTTCATTTTTAACTTCATCATAAAAAAGTTGCAATATCAACACACATTGTGGTATACATATTGAGTAGATCCATGACACAGAGTATCAGTATGATATAGAGGCAAGATGTAGCTGTTAGACTTACCTCTGTAACATTGAAAGCCTTTTATTTTTCAGTTTGAACTCATGCTGTCAGTAAAATGTGTGACTCACTTTACCTGTAATTCTCCACTTTCTACACCATTCATGTGACTTATTACCTATGTACCAGTGGGTTTTTACATAAGCTCTCTTTCCCACCATAATTTAGATTTTCTTGTTGACGTTCATGCTGCTTACTTAATTCCAACATTCATTAAATACGCAAATGTTTTCACCACTATTGAAATTTTTATTATTTAAGCAATGTGCCTGTAATGTACAGGGTAAACTTGTATTCTTGGTGTGTATCACATTTGTATGGATACTCAATTTGTGTAAAACTTAACATTTTTTCATTTTCATGGAGGTAAATTTTTTTTGTCAGTCCTAATTGCTTTCAGAGTCTGCAAAGCTGATTTGTCTCTTATAGTGCTAACCCTAATAGTGACTACAATTCTGCTGGTATAATTTCTTTTTCTCTCATGTATGTTATATTTTCAATATAAAACCTATTTCTATTGCACCTGAAAGTGCTTCTGTCGTGTGAGATAATTTCAGTACTTTAATCTTTTATATCTTACACCTTCTTGATATTGTGGATGCTGAGCTTTTTCAAAACTAGCTCTATATTCATACACTTCATATTCCACTTCTGCTCTCTGTTTGTATGTTTTTAACTCTCAGTGGATGAGGGCACTTTCAAATTATTTTTTTACTTTTCTTCCCATCATCAGTTTTCTGCCTTGCATGCCATTATTTGTCCTGTTTTCAGTCATTCTTTTGCTACACTATTATTAGCTATTCTCATTCTCCTGATCATTTTTAATCATTATATCTACTTTGAACTCTTCATTATCTATGTGTTTTACTGTTATTGTTTCAATTTTCATATGGCTCTTTTTTTCTGTTGACAATCACCCTCCATCAGACTGTATTGCAAGGTGCTTTTTTTTTAATCAGCTACCTCCATATATATTTAAATGTTCCATTTTGTCTTTTTTTGGATATTTCACTTTAACTTGCTTCCCATTCAGGTATAGCTCGCCATCAGAAGTTTATTAGGGTTTTAGCATCTTGTTTTACTTCTGGTTGCTATTCAGTTCCAGGATCCTGTGTGTGAATTTCTTTGATGCTTGCCACATCTATCCATGATTTTTGTGTGGCCTAATTTTGATGTAGGCAAGGTGGGTCTTTATGACTCATTCACTGACTGTTCTGGATGACTCCATCCAGACTTTTGGAGGGCATTTCAGATTTTTTTTCATCTGTAGAACCTTGACTACATTTCCCTTTGGTGCATCATGCTCTTCAGTTTATTCTCTATTCATCGACCAATTTTGATTCCTACAGTTTCGATTCAATTTTGAATCTGAAAGTTTCAAACTTTTTGCACAACTAGTGTTATATTCTTATCTTTTTTTTGTGGTGCCAAAGAGATTTGTAATTGGTCTTACATCTTTCCCATCTCATTTGTTACCTAGATATTCTTATATTCATCATGGAACTTATTAGAATTTTATGAAAGTTCCTTTGTCACAGTTTTTGTATGACAAATGGGGATTTCAGAGTTGTTTATTTTCATGTCATGATTCACCTATCTTCTCCTCTATATCTTTATTTTTCTCATTATGGAGTGTTGTATCAATTTATGAGTTTCCCTTTTAGGTCTGGCTTCAGCTCTCTATGTTTTCACACCTGTAACCAAACTTTTAACTGGTCTTCTACACACAGTCAGTAATGATTATTAACATTGCATGGGTGATTAGAAGGAGCTAACTGGGTTGGATTACTCATGAGTCTAAGTGTTAGATTGTGCCTAATCAATGTCTCATTCAGTTGAGATTTCAGATACCCCATTTTCACATCATTCTGTTTAGGGCTTTGGGCTGTTCAGCATATATGACAGGAATTCCTTTTGTGTTTTAGTTTTATTATTCATAGATAATTTTACTTGGATGGTATATATCAACAGGCTGGGAAGGACTTGATTCACATCACGTATTTATCTGATCTGGTATTTACTTGATTTTTGCCTTTAGTTCAGTTGTTCTGTGTTTGATGCATTCATGATGTCAGTGCATCATCTTGTGATACTTTACTCATTTCCAGTTCTTGGTTCAAATTCCTTAGTAGGGGATACTTTGAGCTTGGTTTGGGAGGATGTTTTCTCTATGCTTACCTATCTCTTCATTTTCTTTCTTGGGTATTGACCTTGATCATTTGGTCTCATGGTCCATTTCTCCTTATTACCCTATACTGTATTGCTCCACTGTGGTTTCTTCTGTATCGAAGGGATATTATTCTATTACTTTTTGGTACACCTTCCACAATTATATTGTCATCTCCAGCTTCATGGCTGTTGTTATGCAGCCCTTTGTTAGTGAAGGTGACTTCTTTTCTTGATAGCTGAAATGTTGTCACATTCTTGGAGATGCTAGTCCCTAGTTGTATAATTCTCTCATTGGTCTTTCTTTAGGAGGGTTGGTGTCTGTGGAATTTGGCTTATTATTTTTTTTCCAACTCCTCAACAGTATACCACATTTTGTTTTTCATGGGGTTGTCTGCTTCTATTGCAGGCTACAGAGCTGCACACTCAGCCACTTTCAGTTACCACAGAAGTTGTGCTTCTTTTGGCCCCACTTTTTCAAAATCTTTTTTTTGAGATTTTTGATTTGCTCTTCCACAAGTACCTAAACATTGTTCTCAGTGGGATTTTAGTATGGTCTTAAGTTGCTTGGCTTCTCTATTTTGATTCTTATAACTTGTTCACTCTACCATCTTTCCTTGAATTTATATCTCAATTTGGCACTCAAGTGGTCAGACGTATTGCTTGCTGTGCTTTAAGTTTTCAAATTTGGCTATAACTTTGTTCATTTTTTTTAACTAAGTTTTTAGACTTAACTTTTAAACTTTGGTAGTCTAACAACAGTTTCATATGAGCTGAATTTATTTCATAAATTGATATTGTTTTTATCTTTTTTGATTACCAAGACTTTTCATCTTGGGTTACTCATCCACTTAAAATTCAGTTATGAATTTTCAGTTTATTGTTATGACTTTTTTATCTGCTACTACTACTTTAGATCCAGTGGCAGATTTAAGGGGGGCAGTTGCCCCTCTTTGCCAATCTGACACATGTGTGTTGCCCACATTTTTAAAGATGATACACACTTTTTTTTTTCTTATGAAAAACAAAGGTTTATTATTGTTTGTCAAAATGCAGCATACAGGTTTCAATAGCTTGAGTTGGATTTATACTGGATTTTTATGGTATAATGCCAGATATCTAGGCAACCTAGCAATACATATTGAATGAATTACATGAGTGATATCATATTATAAAATCTATAAAAGAAATTATTTGTATCAACATGTTCCTCTGGCTCCCTCTATGTACAGATGTTGTGAGGTTTTTAACCTTGACCTCAGGATGGTGTTGTATGGTACCAACAGCAGAATGGTAGTTATGGAATAGGAAGATTAGGAACCAGAAAAATTAAGTTGTTGGCAAGCCAACAAGCATGTAGATTCCAAAGTGAGTAAAACAATCTACAGTTGAACCTTTCATGTAAGTAAGTTACTAAGTTTACACATGGATTAAGTCGCTCTACTGCTGAATGATATTACAAAAGGCTTTGAGGCTAACATGATTTATATCTTTTTGTACACAGTGATAGTATAATCTCCAATACAGACTGCCCCCCTTTAGATTTTTTATGGATTTGGCACTGCTTAGATCAACCAACTGTTGCTGTGACCACAGGTATGATGTTATTGGCAGTGGAAGTTTCGATACTCGTACACTATGAAATGCAGTCATTCATGCAGGCTGGGGGTTCTCCCAACCCTAGGGATACTGGATGGGAGAATGAAGACTACGACAACCTTTTCCTCCACTTTTCTTTGCCACGTAGTCTCATGTGGCTGTGATTGATGCACCTAGACCTTCATAAAATTTTCTGGACTTGGTAACACAGGCTTGTTACATTTTATTCTTATCCTCTGTGTCGTATGACCCACCCTTTTCTTGTTACATGACACCTTCTAACAAATATTTTGTATCCTTCCTTTTCTGATATCCAGGTTTATGCTGAGCATTTTGCAGAGCAGTTATGTTTGTGGATTATCATGTCCCCCCCCCCTCACT